AACATATTAGCATGGATTGAAGAGTAGCTAACGGGTAGAAAACAGAGTGTAGGGATAAACGGGTCCTCCTCAGATTGGCGGGATGTGACTAGTGGAGTGCCACAAGGATCAGTGCTTGGGCCTCAACTATTTACAGTCTACATCAACGATCTAGGTGAGGACATCTAGATATAATATACTTAATATATCCAAATTCACAGATGACACGAAACTAGGAGGGAGAGTAAACCCCAAGGATGACATTAAAAAAATGCAACGAGATATAGATAGGCTAGGTGAGTGGGCAAATAGGTTGCAGATGAAGTATAATGTAGGGAAGTGTGAAGTCATCCACCTGTGGCAAAAACAGGAGAGCAGATTATTTTTTAGAAGGGGAGAGACTAGATAGTGTTAGGATTCATAGGAACTTGGGTGTCCTTGTACACCAGTCACAAAAAGTTAGTTTGCAGGTACAGCAAGCAATTAGGAAAGCATTTGTTATAAAAGGATTAGAATATAAGAGTAGGGAAGTCTTGCTGCAACTATATAGGACCGCGCCTAGAGTATTGTGTGCAGTTTTTTAAGAAAGTTTAAGTTTAAGAAAGGAAGTTCTTTAAGAAAGGATGTACTCGCCTTGGAGGGGGTACAACATAGATTCACTAGGTTGGTACCTGGGATAACGGGGGAGTTATGAGGATAGGTTGAGCAATTTAGACCTATATTCTCTAGAATATAGAAGGATGAGAGGTAATTTTATGAAAACCTATAACATTATTAAGGGGCACGACAGAATAGAAAAGGAAACTATATCCAGGACTAAAATTCGGGCTAAGTCCTTTCGCACTGAATTGAAAAACTTCTTCACTCAGAGGGTAGTGAATTTATGGAATTTATGGAATTCTCTACCCCAAAGGGCTGTAGATGCTCAGTCCTTGAACATATTCAAGACTGAGATAGATTTCTTGTGGATAAAGGGATTAAGGGATATGGGGATAAGGCGGGTAAGTGGAGTTAGTATATATCAGCCATGATCTTATTGAATGACGGGGCAGCTCGAGGGGCCGAATGGCCTACTCCTGCTCCGAATTCTTATGTTCTTATGTTCTTATTGTATACTAGCTGTACCCGTTGCAGCTATGTCTGCCCATTTCACCAGTCTGTCTTATATCCAATTGACTAACAACTGGGTTCCTACTTACTGCTAAGTAACCCTAGGTGTATGGAGCAAGGAAACCTGCCCATTATTTCTCCCTGAATCGAACCCAGGTCTCTCACTTGCGAGGCGAGTGCTGTAGCCACTGATTTAAAGGACTGACCAGCCCACTTCTTGGAGAACAGGACAATGATGTATATTCAGAAGGAAAGCAATCAGTGTTTGATACAATTAGCGGAAGAGGGCATTATGCCCTGCTGAGTCTTACTGGGAAAGCAATGCATTCTTTTGCTGATGTTTTCATTTGTTGCTTTTCCAGCACTATGAGCCAACAACCTGCCCATCACTAGCGTGCCAGGTGCAGCTCAGGCAAATCGTGGGAGAAATCAAGGAAAAACGCACAAAATCATGGCTTAGAGACAGCATCAGTGATCAAACAGGTAAGGAAAACATAAGAAGACCAAGGTCCATCTAGACTGTCTTCCACCATCCTGCCAGTTACTTGACATGTCGTGTCCCAAACTATATACTGTATCCCCAGATAATGGCAGAATCTTCCTGGGGGGTTTTAAACTATAAACTTGCCTCCAATCCAGCAAACATGGCTTTAAAATAAGTGAGGCTGATATTCTCAATAGGCTCAAGGTGTTTTAAAAACCTACAAATCCTCTGCGACAGATAAAATGTACCCCTCGTCTTAGGGAAACAAGGCAGGACATTAATGTCTCTGACAGACATGAAGATGGAGTCAGTCAGTACTAGGGAGGTTCCAACAGGCAGGAAGCACACATGTTATTCCCATTTTCAAGAAAGGGAGAAGAACCATACCTTGCAATGATAGACGCATTAAAGCTGGCAATTCAGTCTGACCTTAATAATTGGAAAAATTATGGAGTCAATCATCACAACGGAAGTGGAAGATTACCTAGAAAAAATAATTTAATCTTTTCTTTTCTCACACTCTTTATCTCTCCCTGTTTGCCCTCGTCCCATCCTTCCTCTCTAACCTTTCTCTATGGAGACACTTAGCAGTCAGTTAATCACAAGATTGGTTTGGATGAAGAAGCTTGGATGATCGGTGAGTCAGTGACTAGAGCATATCAATTTAAGATCAGTGCACTCCATTTAATTGTGTATCTAAGAAGCATTTGCATATTGTATTTTAGATCTTAGAAGGATAAATCAGAATATAATCTTGATGGAGAAAGGTGTACGACCAAATGAATTTGGATGGTCAGTTCCAGAGATTATTAAAAATAAATTAACAGGCCAAAAGGAATCAAAAAGGCTAACTTTATGTCAAAAGAGTTTGAATACAAAACAAGGAGATGATGGTTCTAGTCAGACCTCAACTCAACCGGAATATTGAGCACCGTAAAGATTTAATAGAGGTGTTCAAAATTATGAGTGGTTTTGATAAGAGTAAGCAGGGAGAAACTATTTCTACTGTCGGATGGATCGGTAACCAGAGAACACAGATTTAAGATAGTTGTCGGAAGAACCAGAGGGGAGATGAGGAGAATTTTTTTCACACAATGAGTTGTTTGGATCTGGAATGTACTGCCTCAAAGGGTGGCTGAAGCAGAATCGATAACAACTTTCAAGAGCGAAGCAGATAGATATTTGGGGAGGACAAATTTGCTAGGTCAAATGGCCTCCTGCTGTGCTGTATAACTCTCTGATTCTAAAGAGGTACTCGCCTTGAATGACATACAGCACAAATTCATCTGAATTGAACTCAAACTCCAGGGCCTAATTATGATAGGTTGGCAAACTTGGGTTTCGAAGGTTCAAAAACGGCCTGATTAAAGGGATTTAAAATCCTGAAAATTTATAATAAATAATACTAATCCTTGCATTTGATATAGTGCTTTTCATGTCTTCTCGACATCTCAAAGCGCTTCACAGAATATTTCTACTGTCGGATGGATCGGTAACCGGAGAATACAGATTTAAGATAGTTGTTGGAAAAACCAGAGGGGAGATGAGGAGAATTTTTTTCACACAATGAGAATATGCTGTAAAGTGAATTGACCGTATATTTGTGGGCCAACGCAGCAGCCAATTGCGCACAGCAGTGTCCCACAAACAGTCGTGGATTGAAAATGACCAACTTATTATTGTTTTTGACAAGATGGGTAGAGAGAAACTGTTTCTTCTATTAGGAGAATCGAGAGAAAGAAGAGGACAATAGCTAAATTTAGAGCTAAATTAAGAGCAAAATCAGAATATTTTTTCAACAAGTACGTTTATATACGTGCCCTTCACATTGGATAATATTTCAGAGCACTTCACAGTGCCTGTATCGCATGCGAGCAAGAGACCATAGACATGGTTTTAACATGGGATTTAAAGACTGATAGAGAGGGAATTTAGATTAACTGGATTTTGATTATGGTGGAACTAGGGTCAAGTGAATTAAGAGAAGTCAATGTGACGGCTAACAGAATCATGGATAAGAGTTTGTCTAGCATTTGTAGTGAGATAGGGCAGAATCGTGCAGTGTAGCAGAGGTGAAGAATGTAATCTTGGTCAGGAACCAAATGTGAGGAAGGAGAAAGTAGGTTCTGCAGGTGAGAGAGCAAGGATGAAAGAAGAAAATCTTTCAAACAATCTGGATCTGGAATGCATTGCCTGAAAGAGTGGTGGAATCCGATACGATGACAACTTTCAAGAAAGAAGTAGATGGATATTTTGGGGAGGACAAATTTGCAAGGCTTTGGAGAGAGAGCAGGGGAGTGGGTTTAATTTGAACAGCTCTTTGAAAGAGCCAGCACAGACACAATGGGCCGAATGGCCTCCTTCTGTGCTGTATAATTCTATGATTCTACAAAGTTTGGAAATGTAGAAATGTGACAATAACTACCCCAAAAGGGTGTACTGATGCTCTGTTAATAGAAAAATTTGGATGAATATTTAGTGGGCAGGAGTATCAAGGGAAATGATGAACGGTCAGATCAATGAATTAATAAAGTAGTGCAGTAGACTTGAATGATCTAATCCTGATCCTATCTTCTTAAGTTCTTATGAGCAGTTCAGTAAATAAACAACAGACAAGACAAGGCTTTTTGTGATGCATCGAATCTTTATTAATAGTCCAGCTACAATGCAGATAGAAAGAGAGAGTTCTCCTTTTACGGTCATTAGATACATACAGATTGTGCCAATCGATTCAGTGTTTATGGCAACTTGGAAAGAGACACTACCTAAACCGTCCATTAAAGGCAACACAACCTGCTGTGTCGATGAAGACAGGAGCAGTGAGGCTCCAAATTACAGTAGTGAGGAAAGATTGACTATCCTCATTACTATGGATTTGAGATCTTTAAATTCATTAGATGAGGGCACTGTGGACTTTGTTGGTTTTCTCTCATGAAATGGTGCAGCTTTTTTCAAGTTACTCACAATCACAAGATTATCCCCTGCTCTTCTCGCCTTCCCCTTCCCAAATCAGTAGAGCCAGTTGCCTGCAAGAATTGATGGACATTGTACTGGGTGAGGGGGAGGGGGTTGTGGAGCTGGTACAGGGCTTGTTGGCTTCGAAGGAATTCATTTTATAAATGTATGAATTCATAGACCAGATCAGACTTAACGAGAATCTTATCGCATCCAGTCTGATTAATCTTAAAAGATTGATCGCCTATAAAATACAGTCATTACACTTTACTCCTGCGAGGAGTTTTGAAACATCTTCCTGATGTGAACGATGCAATGTCAAATACAGGATAATAATAATAATTCTTGCATTTGATATAGCGCCTTATCACATCTTCGAGACATCTCAAAGCGCTACACAGAATATACTGTAAAGTGATTTGACTGTATATTTTGTGGGTGAAACGTGGCAGCCAATTGAACACAGCAGTGTCCCACAAACAGTCATGGATTGAGTGACCAGTTTATTATTATTATTTATATCATCAACAAAACCTTGCCCCAAGATTGGTGAGTTTCACATGTGACGAGAAAGTCCATGGCTGCCAGGGTGGACAGGCGTGTGGTGGATTTTAGATGTTATAGAATCGTCTCTTTATCATCATTACAATAATCATTGATGCCAAGAACAGATCAATTACTCTGAATAAATGGCTGGAATCAATTGCAAATAAAGAAGCTTTGATTCTTCATTCTGTTTGTTGAAGTGAATTCCCAAAGACCCATGAAGCATTAACTACGATTATGGTCATCAGAGCCAGACCACGGCAATCTGAAACATTCTTCAGTGGAGAAGCAGCATTTGCTGGGGGAAACGTCCTGAAAGATATGCACAAGAGTTAAAGAAATTAGAATTGGTCACTATTAGAGCGAATCCCATTTGCCTGCTCTTCTGCCATCATATCTGCTGGTGCTTGTTCCTGCACTAGAACTCCATTTAATTCAATTCTGCTACTCTTTTCCTGTAGTCATTATAGCTACTCTTTAAACAAATTTCCTTTTGCACACCGAGACAATACACTTCCCAGAAGAAATACTGTGATTTTTGATTCTTACCTTAAATATCATATTTCTCTGTGAAGAGAACAAATTAGTATAAATATAAACGGCACTGAACAAATATCCCTCTGCATTTCAGACCAAATAATAATAATGCTGGATAAATGGATTTGAGCAGCACCGACAGACATTATGAAGGAGTCATTCGGGACTGGGGAGGTTCCAATAGATTGGAAACAAGCAATATGTTGCTCCCACATTCAAGAAAGGTGTCAGAACCAAACCTGGTAACTATCAATCCATTAGTCCGACCTCAATAATCGGAAATGATGGAGTGAATAATCAGAAAGGAAATGGAAGATTACCTATTTAAAACAGTCAAATAAATGAAAGCCAACATAGATTCAGAAAGGAAATCTAGTTCTGGAGAATGAAGTGGGGCAAGTGGAGCAGGTTTCAATAAGAGCATCTGGACAACAGCGATCAATTGCAACATCATTAAATTTAGAGTACTTATAGAAAGGGATAAGGAATAATCAAAGGTGAAGATACTTAACTGGAAGAGGCTAATTTCGGTGAATTAAAAAGGGACCTAGCTAAAGTGGTCTGGAAAGAAGGATTGGCAGGTAAAACAGCTAACAAGAAATGGAAAGCCTTCAAGGAGGAGATAGTTCGGGGACAGAACAATACATTCCTACAAAGGGGAAAGGTAGGGCATTCAATCCTCCCTGGATGACAAAGGAAATTGGGATTAAAATAAATCAGAAAAGGGAGGCTTATGATGAATGTCATGTCCAAAATACAGAAGATAATCAAATCGAATATAGAAAGTATATAGGAGAATTGAAAAAGGAAGTAAGAGTTGCAAAGAGATTGTATGAAAAATGATAAAAACATAAAAGGGAACCCAAATATGGAAAGGTAGTCAAAAAGTAGGGTGGGTCCAATTAGGGACCAAAGAGGAAATCTTGTGGAGGCAGAAGGCATGGCTAATGTACTGAATCAGTACTTTGCATCTGTCTTCACAAAAGAAGAGGATGCAGCCAATGCCACAGTATCGGAGGAGAGGGTAAATAAATTGGATAAGAATAAACCGAGAGGAGGTACTAAAAAGGTTGACGGTGCTCAAGGTAGAAAAGAAACCCGGTCTGGACAGGATGCATCCTTGGTTACTGAGGAAGTAATCATGGAAATAACGGAGGCTCTAACCACAATCTTTCAATCCTCCTTGGACACCGGCATGGTGCCAGAGGACTGGAGGGTTGCACAAAAAAGGACAGAAAGATAAACCAGGGAACTACAGGCCAGTCAGCCTAACGTCAGGAGTTGGGAAACTTCTAGGGACTTCAATCCAGGACAAAATAAATTTTCACTTAGAACAATATGGCTTAATAAGAGACAACCTCAGGCGCTGACAGCATCAGCATCCAAGGCTGCACTCTCCACCTCTCAAAGCCGGTCAGGAACCTCGGCGTTCTGTTCGACCCCGAGCTGTCCTTTCTTCCTCATATCCGCACCACAACTGGCATCGCCTTCCATCATCTCCGAAACATGGCCAGACTACGACATTATGTCACCCCTCACGGTGCTGAAACTCTGTTCCACACCTTTATCACCTAAAGGCTGGACTATGGGAACTCTCTCCTCGCCGGCCTTCCCGGCCCTCCCTCCACAAGCTGCAGGTCATTCAGAACTCTGCAGCTTGTGTACTATCCCGCACCAGGCTTCGCGACCACATCACTCCCACCCTCGCTCGCCTCCACTGGCTCCCCATCCCCCAGAGGATCGAATTCAAGATCCTCATCCTCACCTACAAGGCCATTCACGGCCTCGCTCCCTCCTACCTCTCCGACCTACTATCCCCCTACCTACCTGCCTGTACCCTCCGTTCCTCTAGCTCCGGTCAGCTCCACATCCCCCGCCCCAACCGCCCTACCATCGGTGGCCGGGCCTTCAGCCTCTCAGCCCCGAGGCTCTGGAACTCCATCCCCAGTGCCTTCGCCTTGCCTTCTCCCTTTCCTCCTTCAAGGTCGGTCTCAAGACCTTTCTCTTTGACCGTGCCTTCAGCTCCCCTCTCGACTCTCTACCCTGTCCTCGCTCCCTCCCTTCCCTCCCCTCACCCTGACCATTTCCCCCCTGCTCGGGTCCTGACCCAACTGTCCAGCGCCTTGGGACGTCCTCCCGACATGAAAGGCACTCTATAGATGAGATTGTGTTGTTGTTGTAATGAGAGATAACCAATATGGGTTTGTTAAAGACAACTCGTGACTAATAAAACCTGACAGTTTTTTGATGAATTAACGGAGAGAGTGAATGAAAGTAGTGCAGTTGATGTAGTTTATATGGATTTTCAAAAGACGTTTGATAAAGTGCTACATAAGAGACTTGTAAGCAAAATAGAAGCCCACGGTATTAAAGGGACAGTGGCAGTATAGATACAGAACTGGTTGGGAGACAGAAAGCATAGAGTGGTGGTGAACGGTTGGTTTTCTGACTGGAGGGAAGTGTGCATTAGTTAGTGTCCCCCAGCGATCAGTATTGGGACTACTGCTGTTTTTGATCTATATAAATGACCTGGACTTGGGTATATGGAGTACAATTTCCAAGTTTCAGATGATACTAAGGTAGGTAAAGTAGTAAACAGTGAGAAAGATAGTAGGAAACTTCAAGAGGGCATAGACAGACTGGTAAAAAGGGCAGAAACGTAGCAAATTAAGTTTAATGTAGAGAAATGTGAAGTGATGCATTTTGGGAGAAAGAATGAGGAGAGGCAATATAAGCTGTTGGTACAATCTTAAAGGGGGTGAAGGAACAGAGAGACCTGGGGTTCATACAAGTAAATCTTTGAAAGTGGCCGGACAGGTAGATAAAACTGTTTTTTAAAAAAAGCATACAGGATACTAGGCTTTATAAACAGGGACATAGAATGCGAAAGTCAGGAAGTTATGATAAACCCTTATATAAAATACTGACTAGGCCTCAGCTAGAGCCTGTGTTCTGGGCACCACACTTTAGGATGGATGTCAGGGCATTGTAGAGAGTGCAAAGGAGATTTACCAGGATCATACTAGGAATGAGGGACTTCAATTATCAGGAGAAGCTAGGATTATTCTCCTTGGAACAGAGAAGGTTAAGAGGAATCCTGTAGCTCAGTGGTTAGAGCACTCGCCTCGCAAGCGAGAGACCTGGATTTGATTCTCAGCAGGGGGAACCTTGGGCAAATTTCCTTAGTCCACACGCCTGATAATAATCCCTCAAGAAAAAAAACAATAATAAATTGGTCATTTCAATTCACGACTGTTTGTGGGATACTGCTGTGCGCAATTGGTTGCCGTGTTTCGCCCACAAATATACAGTCAATTAATTTTACATGATATTCTGTGAAGTTCTTCGAGATGTCTAGAAGACGTGAAAAGTGCTGTATCAAATTCAAGTTTTTTTTTAATCCTAAGAAGAGATTTAATAGAAGTTTACAAAATTATGAGGGGATTCGATAGGGTGAACAAGGAGAAGCTATTTCTAATGGTGGGTGGGTCGGTAACCCGAGGACACCAATTTAAAATAGTTGTTAAAAGAAACAGAGGGAAGGTGAGGAGAAATTTTTTCATGCAGCGAGTTGTTCGGATCTGGAATGCAGATTACAACTTTTAAGAGAGAAGGAGATAATTTTGGAGAGAGGACAAGTTTGCAGGGTTATGGGGAGAGATCGGGGAATGGGATTGATTTGGGTAGCTCTTTTCACGAAGCCGGTGCAGGCATAATGGGCCGAAAGGCCTTCTTCTGTGATGTATGATTCTATGATTCCTATCTCTTGGATTCTATAGTTAGTACTTTGCATTTATCAATACTAAACTTCATTGCCAGTCATCAGCCCATGTATATCCCCTATCAAACTCTTTGCAAAACCTTTCCTGCATCCTCTGATTCCAGTTTCCCTCAACTTGATATTATCTGCAAATGTAACTATCTTACGCCTAATAATAATCCCTCCAAAACCAAAAACAATAATAAATTGATCATTTTCAATCTACGACTGTTTGTGGGACATTGCTGTGCGCAATTGGCTGCCGCGTTCGCCCACAAATATATACAGTCAATTCACTTTACAGTGTGTTCTGTGAAGCGCTTTGGGACGTCCTCCCAATGTGAAAAGCGCTATATCAAATGAAAGGATTATTATTATTATTACACTGGGTTGTGAATCCAGGCCATTAATATATACGAGGAACAGAAGGGTCCCAGTACAGAAAATAGAAACATTTTTAAAGGAGCTAAAATTTCCAGACCTAGGGATATTAACATACTTAAAGTTGGGAAGTCGGGTGATTTAGCTGTGGAGAAGGTTAATTGGATGCTGCATTTAGAATGCAAATCAAAGAGATTTTATCCCCCCCCCTCAAAAAAATCCTCACTTGATCCCTCTGATCTCTTACACTACCGTCCCATCTGTAACCTACCCTTCCTTGCTGGAAAGCATTGTTGCAGGTCACATCTATAATAATAATAATAATCCTTGCATTTGATATTGCACTTTTCACGTCGGGAGGACATCCCAAAGCGCTTCACAGAAGACAATGTAAAGTGAATTGACTATATACTTGTGGGCGAACGCGGCAGCCAATTGTGCACAGCAATGTCCCACAAACAGTCGTAGATTGAAAATGACCAATTTATTATTGTTTTGGGTTTTGAAGGGATTATTATTAGGCTCTGTGTGGAGTAAGGAAACTTGCCCAAGGTTTCACCCTGACTGGAATTGAACTCCGGTCTCTCACTTGCAAAGCGAGTGCTCTAGCCACTGAGCTACAGGACTCCACACCTCTCCCTCTACTCCCTCCTCAAGCCCCTGCAGTCTGGTTTTCACCCTGCCCACAGCACTTGTCAAATTCACAAACAGCATCCTCTCTATCTGTGATCAGGGCTCTCTCTGCCTCCTCATCCTCCTGGATCTCTCTGCGGCGTTTAACACAGTCGACCATGTCATCCTCCTCCACCGCCTCTCTCTCATCCTCCTTGATGGGATTGCACTTGCATGGTTCAAGACCTACTTTAAGCAAGTTCCTTACTCCGTGTCTGTTTACCTGGCAGTAAATAGGAATCTGGTTGAAAGTCGATTGTCGGATCACTTTTCTGGGGATAATAATCCCTTTTTTAAAAAAAAATTCACGACTGTTTGCTGCGTTTTGCCCACAAAGTAAACAGATAATTCACTTTACAGTATATTCTGTAGCACTTTGAGACGTCTCGGCGATGTGATAAGGCGCTATATCGAATACAAGATAACCAATCGCCTCCATTTCATCTCAGCAAATGGTTTCTCCTCCCGCCCTTGCTCTGCAGGGTACCCCAGAGATCCATTCTTGGCCCTCTTCTTTTCCTTATCTATATTCTCCCTCTAGGCGATGTCATCCGCAGACACGGGGTAAACTTCCACATGTTTGTAGATGACACACAAATCATTGCCTCCTCCAGTACCGACTCCAGGTCAGCTTGTCTAGCAGACATCAGGGCCTGGATGAACGCAAACTTCCTGCAGTTGAATGTGGACAAGACCGAAGCCATACTCCTTGTCTCCCGTCAACGTTTTCACTCTCGCGGATCTAAACTTCTCAATGTCCCTGGGCGCTCCCTCAGACTCATCGAACCAGTGTGCATTCAAGACGTCTGGTTTGTACACCCCCAGTTGTTCCTCCACCACATCTGGTCCTTGACCAGGACCACCTTCTTCCATCACAGCTACATTATCCGCCTCCGAACATACCTTAGTCCAAATGCAGACGAAACCCTCATGCATGCATTTGTCACCTCCCACTTGGATTTCTGAAACGCACTCCTTGCCAGTCTCCCCAGCTGCACTATTCAGAAGATCCAGCTCATCCAAAACTCTGCGCCCACATACTTACCGAATCAAATCCGTACCCATAACTCACCAGTTCTGGCAAGGCTCCACTGGCTCCCTCACACTTGTGTCAAATCCCTTCACTCTCTGGCACTTCCCTACCTCTCTTACCTCCTGACTACCAAATCCACCATCCGGTGCCTCTGCTTGAATAGCACCGATCTCCTGCTCGTCCCTCGCGCCACCCGCCCCACCATCAGCGGTTGCGCTTTCAGCCACTATGTCCCAAAGCTCTGGAACACTTTCCCTCAATCCCTCCGCCTTGCCCCTCTCTCCCCTTTTTTAAGTCCCATCCACTGTTAAGCACTCTGAGACACTACCCTGCTATATTGTTGTTGATCCTGAGGCACCCTGCTAATACCCTCTCTATTGTGACCTAGCTCCCCTAACAAAAACTCTGCTTCCTTCACTTCAGGCAATTCTGGGACCACATTTGTAAAAGAGTCTTTCAATAGGGTACCTTTGTCAAACGCCTTTTGGAGTAACAGATATACCACATCATATAGTTTCCCAGAGTCATTTGGGATTGTCATCTCAAAAAAGTCCATGAGATCATGAGATTGGTGAGATAAAACCTACCATTTTGAATCCATGTTGATTGTCAATTATTAGATAGTTTATATACAGGTAATCTTCCACTTCCTTTCCGATGATTGACATTTTTTCTATTATTGAGGTCAGGCGACTGGGTCTATATTTGCCAGATTGAGTTTTGCCGCCCTTCTTGAAAATGGGAACAACATCTGCTGCTTCCAGCCTTTGGAACCCCCCAGTCCAGGTTGACATAAATATCTGTCAGTGCTGCACAAATTTCTTGTCTTGGGCTCCCTAAGTATTCTGAGATACAGTTCATCAGTTCCAGTGGATTTGTTAGTTTAAGCCCTTGAGCCTGTCCAGAATCTTAGCCTCACTTATGTTAAAATCTGGAGCACAAACGATTGTTTTCACGAGTACATAGAACAAGAAGACCTAAGTTTAGAGTTGCAAAGGTCAGTTTCAGGTCACATATTCTGAAGATTTTCATTACCCAGAGGGTTATTAATGAGTGGATCAGGGTGCTGGGAAGGATCATTGAGGTCGCAATACTCGACTCATTTTAAAAAATAGCTTGGTTCTGTGGTGCAAGGAGATTGGGAGATTGGATGGGTAAATGGGCATTAGTTCATCTTAATCTTGTGATTTGTGTAGCAACGTTTTGTGGATTGTGGGTGAATAAACAACAATAATATTATATTTGTATAGCGCCTTGCAGTCATAAATTCGAAGGAATTCTAAATCTCATTTTTTAAAGTCCTGACACAGAGTTGGAATTTACTTACTCTATGCACAATACACACAAATATTTAAGGTACGAATTCGGGATATTGTGATTCTTACCTCCATATTTGTACAATCCACCTAGCAGGAGAACATATTGGTATCAGTATTACCTACTGAATAAGTATCACTCCGCATTTCACGGCAATAGTTATATTTGGAGTGCTAAATAGAAACATTTTAAAAGGAGCTGAAATGTACTTAACGTACATAAAGCTGTGAAGAAAGTTAATGGCTAAAAGTTCAAAATGGTGTTGGACAAGAGGCTGGCATTGTGAGGACGTTCTCAAACAGGACTGCAAAAATGGGGGTGCTATCTGGAGGACAGATGGAGACTGAGGCCTACAGGCACGTCTGGAGTGCAGATTGAGGAACAACATCACTGTGGGGCCCAATTGCCCACACCCGCTCCCCCCCTCCCCGCAAAGGCAACTAATGTGGGATTTGTGGCCTGGCTGGCCCAGGCGCCAACACGGCCATTTCAGAACCAAAGAATCACCGGTCGGTTGCCGCACGACCTAACTTCCGCCACTACATTCAAAACTCTGAGCCTGGACTTACAATGAATATCGCACCCTCCTTCGCCATGACCAACACCAGCGGGCTGACCATACTAACTGGTCCACTCTTAGTCTCAATGTGCACGTTTTGGCTGCCGCCACTGACCCGAACTGCTTCTCTCAAAAATGCTCCCACCCCTGTCCCTTATACTCAACTACCGCTCAACCCATTACTGTAAAGTGTAGTAACTACTAATAGGCAAATGCAGCATTCAATTTTCATTGTCCTAGAAACTGCCATGAGGAGAATACCATATTATCCCGGTGGTTGTTGTCCTGGACCAAAGGATAAACTCCCTTTTTTTTTTGATAGTTGCCTCTTTAATGTCTACCTGAACTAGCAGACAGGAACTTTGGTTTAATGTCTCCTCCGAAGGACAGCACCTCTGACAATGCAGTACTCTCCCAGCACTGCTAAAAAAAAAAAGAAAGGGCTCTGCCATGAGCACTGTTTGATGCAAAATCCATATTGGACTTCAAAAGGAGTGAGACAAACACCTAAAAGAAGTCAACCACAGGGGAGTGGCTTTCTCTTTCTCTCATCTTAGTACATTCAAGACTCTTGCAAACAATACTGTTCGTAAAACGGAGTAACAAAGCTAGTATTGAGTCAGTGGGTTCAGGTGATGGCACTCTCACCTCTTGATTCAGAAGATTGGGTTAAAGTCCCACGTTGGGACTTAAAACTTTTTTTCAAAGAGTTGAAGAGTATCCAAACCAAACTGAAGATTCCATGGAAATTCCACAGACATTTATTGGAATGGAAACCATATTCTTCATTGGAGGGATACATCCAGCTTACCTAATTTCTGATAGTATTAGGCACAGGTTTGCAAGAGTCAAGGTTTGAGTGTGCGTTGGAATAACTCCTCGAGCCTAATCAGCTAAAAATGCATAATTTACCATTGGGAGCGCTGTCTGGTAAGCTTTCCTACTGCTTCTCCAGGTAGGATCACCCCACCTGTTAGGGCTTTGGCTTGCAGAGTTTACAGAAGCTGAGTGAAAAGAGTTCCTGCCCCCAGTGACTGGTCTGCCCTTCCAAGCTAGTTCAGCTCCAAGGAGACTCTTACCTGGCTTAGGAACATGTCTACCTGTGAAGAAAGCACATTAATACAAAAATTAAATTCTCTTTATACATTTCAGCACCAAATTTCACAAGTCTATCCCTTTAGCAGATTTGGTAAATGCATAAAGACATAGTGTAATTATCTATTCTTCAATACGTGGGGAAGCAGTGATTTTTATCATAAGAATAATAACCCTTGCATTTGATACAGCGCCTGATCACATCTTCTGGACGTCTCAAATTATTTTTAATTTTCTCTTCAACCATGCCTTTAGTCTCCCTCCCACCTCTCTGCCTTCCCTCACCCCTACACCACCCCTCCCCCATGCTCGGGCCCCAACATCTGACTGTTCAGCGCTTTGGGACATCCTCCCGACATGAAAGACACTCTATAAATGTAATTTTGTTGTTGTTGTTTTACATATTCTTTTAGGTTATTACAGTGATATTTATAATAATGCTTACATTCAATATAATTTTTTATCACATCATCAAGACATCTTAAAGCATTTCACAGGATTTATAGACAGATGCAGCATCTAATTTATGGACAACACCAAATTGAGGGTGTAGTTAATACTGAGGAGTATCACAACAAATTACAAGACATTAATAAAGTGGCTGAATTTAATTGGCAAATGAATTTCAAAATAGATACACAACAACAAAATTACATTTATGTAACGCCTTTTACGTCAGGACGACATCCTTTAGGAAGGATGTCAAGGCACTCGAGAGGGTGCAAAGGAGATTTACCAGATTTACCAGGAATGAGGGACTTCAGTTATCAGGAGAGGCTTGGATTATTCTCCTTGGAGCAGAGAAGGTTAAGAGGAGACTAATACAAGTTTTCAAAATTCTAAGGGGTTTCAATAGGGTGAACAAGGAGAAACTATTTCCACTGGTGGGTGGGTCGGTAACCTGAGGACACCAATTTAAAATAGTTGTTGAAACAAACAGGGGAGGTGAGGAGAAATGTTTTTACACAGTGAGTTGTTGGGATCTGGAATGCAGTGCCTGAAAGGCTGGTGGAAGCCGATTCGATAACAACTTTTAAGAGAGAAGTAGATAATTATTTGTGGAGGACTCTGGGGAGAGAGCAGGGGCATAGGATTGATTTGGAAGCTCTTTTCAAAGAGCCGGCACAGACATGATGTGCCAAATTACTTCCTCCTGTGCTGTATGAGTCTATGATTGATTCATATTAGCACCTTTCCCAAAACCCTTAAAAGGATGGAATTTAACATAGAATTACATACAATAAACATCACAGAAGCAGGCCATTCGGCCCAAACCAGTCTATGCCGATGTATGCTTCACATGCTCCTCCTCCTGCCCTTCCTCAACTAAGCCTACCAGCATAACCTTCTATTCCTTTCTCCCCTTAAATGCATCTATGCTATTCACCTCAATGCATGAATTCAGACTCCAGCAGCTGTTGGCCTAAGCCTCAGAGTTTCCTCATCAGCTATCTCTTGGACATCTGCCTTCAGCATGGTGTAAGGATCTTTACAGGACAGCTTGTAACGTGCCAGCCACTTTGGGTCCAATCCAGGTCCTCATGTGAGGGACTTTGGCAAATAACCATGTCTGCTGTGAAGCCAACTCCACTGTACAGGTCAGTGTAGGCTGCAGCTTTCCTTTCCTGCAGCTGTTTCCATATTTGCCACAAATATCCATCTCACTGCTTGATCCTGGACTTCGCAGATGGGAAGCCTCTCTTCTGGATCCCCAGAAACTCAAATCCATGAAGGAGGTCTTATATAACTCGAGCTTGATCTGCATTGGGACCTTGTTGTCTTGAAAAAGAATGAGCATGGCCAGAGTGCCCTTCACCCCTTCTTAGCACAATCTTTCAGGACAGTGTCCAAACAGAATCCGTACCTCTGGGTTGTGGTGGACACAATCCTCCTTGATCCAAGGTACTGATAAGAATCAACAATTTGGAATCGATAAACTAATGAGTACTGTGGGCAGGTGGGCTGCATTGTCAGGGATGCTGTCCTTCAGATGAGATGTTAAATTGAGATCTCATCTGTCTCTGTTCAAGTAGAGACTAAAGATCCCATTGTATTAACTGAAAAAAGAAGGGAGTTGGTCACAATGTCCTGGCCAATAATCCCTCAGATAAAATTGGCTTTCCACTTCATATGTGTGAGATTATTGTATGCAAATAATATACAATCACTAGAGTTTGAGACATCCTCCCAATGTGAAAGCTGCTAAACTCTGTGGCTAAATTACAGTGGATTAGCAGATCGCTTTTCTAGAGTAATAATCCCTTCCCAAAAAATAATAATAGAATTTGATCTTTCAATCCTCAACTGTTTGTGGGACACTGATGTGTGCAATTGGCTGCTGTGTTTCATCCACAAAATATACAGTCAATTCACAGTATATTATGTGAAGAGCTTTGAGATATCCTGAAGATATGAGAAAGCACTATACCAAATGCAAGGATTATTATACAAGGAATTAAAGATCACAATCTATCTGGATTTCCAGAGGTGGGATGCATAGAATTCTCAGTTTGGTTTGGAGCCTCTTAGGCACGGTGATGGATTTCCACGTGTGTCAGACATGTGGCATACCGAAAAAATCAAATTTCTTTAAGGTATTGTCACAGTCAGCATGTGCTCTTTACAGAATGAAAAATAGATTTTTAACAGAAAAATACTGTTAATTATGATCTTACCTCTGAAGACTCGGAATTTACCTGTGAAGAGAAATAATTATTATAAATATTAACTGTACCGGATAAATACAATTCCATATTTCACACGATTAGTAATACCTCATGTCAGAAAGTGGTTTCTGTGAACTATAACAATTGATTTGTTTGGAAATTCATGAGAATAACTGTTTTGAGATATTCCCCCGACATAAATCAATGAATCATAGAATTATAAAACAGAGAAGTAGGCCATTCGGCCCATTGTGTCTGTGATAGCTCTTTGAAAATAGCTATCCAAATCAATTCTATTCCCCCGTTCTCTCCCCTTAGCCCTGCAAACTTGTTCTTCCCAAATAATTATCTACTTCTCTCTTAAAAGTTGTTATCGAATCTTGAAAGTTGTTATTATCCAGCTCATTCAAAACTCCGCCACCCACATTCTCACTCACACCAAACTTCATACCCCTAATACTCCAGTCCTTGCCAAACTCCACTGGCTCCCTGTCACAAAGCGGATCCACTTCAAGATCCTCACTCTAGTGTCCCTCCATTCCTTGACACCCTCTATCTCTCTCACCTCTCTTGCCACAGCAGTACCTGCTGCCTCCGCTCTACTGGGTCCGGCCTCCTCTGCATCCCCCAAATCTTCTGCACCATCATCGGCGGCCGTGCCTTCAGCCGTATGTCCCAAAACTTTTGAACTCCCTCCCTCTGCCTCACCCCCCTCTTTCCCCATCTTCAGGTTGCGCCTGAAAACCTTCCTTTTCGACTGCACCTAGGGTCACCCCCTCCCCCTGGCTCAGCTTTGGGCTCCACCATTGCTAAGTGCCGCCCGGCTTGGAGGGCGCTCTATAAGTACAAGTTATTGTTGTTGGCATCCACCAGCCTTTCAGGAAATGCATTCCAAATCTGAACAACTCACTGTGTGAAAACATTTCTCCTACCCTCCCCTCTATTTCTTTTAACAACTAGTTTAAATCGGTGTCCTCCAGTTACCGACCCACCCGCCAGTGGGAATAGTTTCTCCTTGATCACCTTATCAAATCCTCTCATAATTTTGAAAGCTTCTATTAGTCTCCTTCTAAAACTCTCTTCCAAGGAGAATAATCCTGGCTTCTCTCGCCTCTCTTGATAACTGAAGCCCCTCATTCCTGGTACCATCAGGGTAAATCTCCTTGCGCCCTCTCCAATGCCTTGACATCCTTCCTAAAGTGTGGGGCCCAGAACTGAACACAATCTCTAGCTGAGGCCTAATCAGTGTTTTATAAAGTGTTTTGTCATAACCTCCTGACTTTTGTATTCTATGCCCCTGTTTATAAAGCCTAATATCCCAGATGCTTTCTTAACAGCTTTGTCTACCTATCCTGCCACCTTCAAAGGTTTACTTATATGAACCCCCAGGTCTCTCTGTTCCTTCACCTCCTTTAAGCTTATATTTCCTCTCCTCATTCTTCCTCCCAAAATGCATCATTTTGCATTAATCTTCACCTGCCACGTGTCTGCCCATTTTACCAGTCTGTCTATGTCCTCTTGCAGCCTGCTACTATCCTTCTCACTGTTTACTACTTTTTCTAGCTTAGGATCATCTGCAAACTTGGAAATTGTACTCTGTATACCCAAGTCCAGGTCATTTATATATGAAAGGTGTAAATTGTATTTTATTCTATTGTGACGTGGACATTTATTGCAAACCCCCATTCAGTATTCTGGTTGTTCTATTGTTATATCAGACATTCATTCTATGTGTTCGGTTGTTATTCATGCCAAGTAATTTGTTCAATTGTTAAAAGATATATGAAAGAACAATGAGTTTGGAGTTGAGAGCTCCAGTGAGCAACAACAAAAGGCCTCTTTTCTGTAAATATTTTAACTTTCTGAAGGAAAAAGGTGTAAGATCACTGGTATAGAGGAACTGGCGCTGGATTGGTTAATGCTCAGAGACATGTGAAGGATGTTATAAATGCAACTTGTTGTTGTGTGATTTTCCCTTCAGATTCTTGGTAATTAGAAACTTATTGAGAGAACCAGAGAGATGCAAAGAAAACATTTCTTTAAGATTTGTGTGAAATTTGAATCTTATCTCCAATGTGGTATAAAGGGAACATGTTAGTATAAATGGTAACTTCATTATTTCAACTCCACATTACAATAGCAGTTGGTGTCAGAAAGCTGTTAACATGAGGTGTGAGCAGTCTGCTGAGGGCAGAGTTCGATTCAGTCCCAGCCTAGTGGATGAATTTCTTTGTGCTAGCTGAAATAGAGATGTGTGCAATGAATCTGGACAGTTGTACAAGGTGCCTGTGTCATAGTTATATCGGCCAGTCACATTTCTCTGAGGTTCTGTTACGGAAATGTGTTCTTTGTAGAAAAGCAAACAAGAATGTTGTGAATTTTGATTCTTACCAAAACCAAAGACACCTGTGAAGAGTAGATTATTATATTAACAGCACTGAATAAATTGTTTCACATTTCATAGAATCATAGAATTATACAGCACAGAATTATACAGCCATTCGGCCCAGCGTGTCTGTGCCGGGTATTTGAAAAGAGCTATCAAATTCAATTTCACTCCCCTGCGCTCTCCCCAGAGCCTTACTTGTTCTCCCCACCAAATTTGGGGAGGACAAGTATTAGTATTGGTACTATACTTAGTATTAGTATAGTAGAGTTATCTGCCTACTATCTAGAGTTAGTTATTTCACAACAATACTACTAACTCATATTGTGTCCTTTGGAAATTGAAGCATTCATGGGAACAGGTGGTATGAGTTAGACTTTTATTATAAACTCACACTCAGCATTCTGGTTGGTCTATCGCTCTATCAAAGATTCATCATATATCATTTATTTATTATCATTTATTGCATGCAAAGGGCACAGAGAAAGTACAAGGAAACGGGATGAGATTGGAGTACCCAGTATAGGAGTTATCACCCGCAAGAACACAATAAGGAAAGTGCAGGGCAACAAGATTAGAGAACTCCAGCACTCGCTCAGCCATAAGGCAGGAAGAGGAAATGAGATTAAAGTAAAGACTTTCAGTGGGGGAGCGAACACCAGCACAAACACAATGGGCCAATTATCCTGTTCTACTGTATGGGGGTTTAGAACTGGAGGGCGTAGTTTTGAAATCATAACTGGTAGATCCAGAACGGAGATTAGATGGAATTGTTTCACACAGAGAGTGGTTGGAATGTGGAATTCTCTGCCACAGTTAGTTGTTGCTGTGGCAATGTTGTGCACATTCAATAAAAGATTGGACACGTGTTTGAAAGAGATTAAAATTGGGGGATATGGAAGAGAGGATTTAGGGCTCAGGATAGGATCTAAGATAGCCACTCATGTGGAGTATAAACACCAGCCACATTGGATGAGCTGTAATGGCCTGTTTCGGAGCCTACGTGAGGCTGTGAATGAAACATTTAAATTTTAAGCATTACCTGTTATGCCGCGGCCACGATAACGGTATTTCTTCACTGTGAATGAAAGATGTTTGTGTTAACATTGATTGTATGGAATCAGCTACGTTTTAACTACATTTTCCCAATAAAATTTATCATAAGAAACATTCATTATAAGAATTATGATCAGATTTCTTTGAGATTCTGTCAAAGAACTGGAATGTGGAAAATGAAAAACAGATTAAAAGCAGGCAATAGTTTAATTCTTACCTTGACCAGAGTCTTTAATTGTTTCATGCTAATAATATCTAGTGCTGTTGGTTCTCACTATAGTCATTGGGGTATTCGCCAGGTGCTGTCCCTGGGCTCCTTTTCCCCTACCATCTAACCATAACGCCCTTGAGAGGCACCTGAATTATAGACCTTGTCGTAAATACCTTCATTTATCACATTATTTGAAAGGCTTGGCTTGAAATTCCAGGATGTGTGTGCTCGATGCACCTGCTCATCACAAGTGTCGATGGCACATGCACTCAGCTGGACACTGAGCTATCCAATATACTCAACCTGCCTCAGCAAAGAAACAAAGACTTCTCTCAAAAGCTTGATCTATCCTTTTCCACCTGGAATATCAATTCCTTAGTATCGTGAGATCTGAAAATGACCTTTCCCTTTCTGTGTTCCGGTTGTCCATGAAAGCTGCAGAAAGGTCAGTGATTATTGGCAGGTGATTGAAGGAGCATTTCGACCCAAATACAATTGACTAGGATCTACAGACAGTGAAAATCTGAATGGGCTTGCCTTATCTTGTCTGAGTAAAGATTCCCTGGCATGTGTCAGCAAACTGCATGGTACTGAGTGCAAGGACCCTGAAAGACTGTGGGGAATTTGCTGAATGGCATTGCACAATGATTTTCTGACTGAACTTATGGGAGATAGAGCACTCGACTCACAAGCGAGAGAACTTTGGTTCGATTCCCAGGGGTTCAAAATGTTGGAGTAAGAGTTGTGTAGAGTGAGTTTCCTTACTCCACATGGCCTCTGTTTACCAAGCAATAAGTAGGAACCCGGTTATTAGTCGATTGGCGGAATGCTTTTCCAGGGATAATAATCCCTCAAAGAAAACAATAATAATTTGGTCACTCAATCCACAACTGTTTTGGGGATATTGCTGTGCGCAATTGGCTACCGCGTTTCGCCCATAAATATACAGTCAATTTACTTTACAGCATCTTCTGTGAAGCGCTTTGAAACGTCGAGAAGATGTGAAAAGCGCTATATCAAATGCAAGGATTATTATTGTTATTATTTAGAGGAAGAGGGCAGTGCTTGAGCCCCTTGGGCAGATATGCCACAAGGTTATTGTCAAGTCAGAGTGGCTGATGACTAAGAGTGATCATGATGAAGTAATCTGCCACATGAAAGATATTGCTGACCATGAAGCCTGGAACTGATTCTTTGTGACAGTTGACAGTGCAGTCCCGATGACCGATGATACAGCCAAGGACTTTCTCACTTCTTTAGCTGAGGTTGTAAACAAACTGAAGTTACAGCCTGTAAGCCATTCATCTACGAAGCTGTACACTGTCAAGGTAACTGGAAACAAGAGAATTATTAGGTAAAAGCAGAAGACCTTTAAAGCGCCACTAGACACTTTCTCACAGCAAGCTAGAACCCTTGCAAAGATAATAATAATCCTTGCATTTGATATAGCGCTTTTCACTTCAGGAGGACGTCCCAAAGCGCTGCACAGAACACACTGTAAAGTGAATCGACTGTATATTTTTGTGGGCGATCGCGGCAGCCAATTACGCACAGCAGTGTCCCACAAACAGTCGTAGATTGAAAATGACCAATTTATTATTGTGTTTGGTTTTGGAGGGATTATTATTAGGCTCTGTGTGGAGTAAGGAAACTTGCCCAAGGTTTCGCCCTCTGCCTGAAATTGAACTCAGGTCTCTCACTTGCAAAGCGAGTGCTCTAACCACTGAGCTACAGGACTCCACAGACTCCAAGATAGTTCATAGCATAAAGCCAGGAAGGTTATAAGGGAAATGAAGCGGGATCAGAGAGTTGCATCACTCCATAAGGGATTGCAGCGACACAAGAAGGATCTTAAACCACTGAATGATGTCCATCATTGGGCAGGGTCAGAAGGGCTGGATAGAATTGTTTGACAGATCCGGTGCAATATAGCCATGATGGTGACCTTGAGGTCTGAAGGAAGCATTGTTGTTATCTGATCCGTTGGGGCATAGCAATAATGAGGGAGGTGCAGATTGAAGGCCTTATTGATCCAGTTTGCTGAGAGGAATGTGGATTACATTCTGTGAAGCCTTGCTGATAAGATGCAAATATGGACTGGAATTAATGGTGAATTCCTAAAAGCAGCTGTGAGGGATGGAGGGATGGAGCGGAGAATTGCAAGGCTTTTACAGATCAGTGCCAGGAATTGTCAACTTGCTTTGGAGCAGCCGTTCAAAGACTGCTCAATGGGATTCTCTTGGACACACAATTACATCAAGTGTTCCAGAATGCGATTGTGGTATCTTTCCATGTGAGGGTGATCCTAATGATACCAAGAACAACCAAGAAACTTTGTTGATTTGTTGACTTGTTGACAAATCCCGTGGCTTTGAAGATGTTGCTTCAAGTCATAACTGCGTGTATAACATATTGGTTTGATTAGGAAAGAAGAGGCTGGATCTGTTCTTCCTTAGGGGTATGTGGAGAGAGTTGTGGCTTTTTATGAGATCAATGAATGTGACAGATGGCTTAGGAAAAACCCACCTACATTGATTTACAAAAGTCCTTCACCCTAATGCCTCACAAAGCCCTCATGATGAAAGTGGAAGCCAAGAAAATACATGGCCAAATTTTGGATTTAACCCAATGTATATTCCAGCTCCAAGATCCTTATAAGAGTAGACTCACGGAGCCTTGATAGGGGGTGAGGCAAAGCTGTCTACTGTCACCCACCTTATTCTATGTATACATCAATGGGTTAGATGGTATCAAGAGGGACATAATTGATGTATCTTTCCCAAGCAATCTTGACAGTATTACAGTGCTTCTGTATACAGTTGATATTGTGCCATTGGAGGAGTCACTTGGCTAACTTGTGCACTACATTCAGCCTCTTGAATACTGGAACCCTCAATGGGAAATGATGCTGGATGTCTCCAAGTACAGAACTATGGTTCTTCATGGTTTGAGAGACGAGTCATCATACCCAGGCTTGATGTTAGCGGATTCAAGCTTGGATGTGATAAAAGTGAGGATAAGGGTTCTCAGCAGTCTGGGTGGGAAGAATGAACAGTGAGGGAAAGCTGAGATGTAAGAGGATGGATGTGGGGTTCGAAGGGAGTCAACGTGGAGTGCGAATCCATACATGTTGATGCTTTTAGCACCTGAGGTTAAGATGCACTGATAGTAATAAAATCCTGCACAGCAATGTCCCACAAATAAGCAAATAGTGTCATGGGATCTTTAGCATCCTTCCACCCGAACAGACAGACGGGCCTCGGTTTAATGAAGGAAGACACTTCAACCAAAGCAGCACCCCCCAGCACTGACTGGAGCATCATCTTAGATTCTGTAAGTTCCAATCCCTAAGCATTGAACAAAATTAGAACCTGGAAACGAGCTGACAACATGAACTCAATAGATTCATATAAGAGTTGATTAGAGACTTAACAACCCTACCCCCTCTCATAAACGACAGCAACAACAAAATTATATTTATAGAGCATATTTCACGTTGGGAGGATGTTGGGATAAAGAGGATGTTGGGATAAAGAGGATAAGAAAGGCTGTTTTCTGTCACCAACCTTTTTTTCATGTATTTATTAATGCTGTATTGGATGGCATTAAGGGGGCAAACTTGGTATATCTGGTATTTATGATAGAATTGAAGCATTCCGGCTACACCTATACTGATAGAAGACTCACTTGGAAACTTGGACAATGCATTCACCATGTTGAACACTGGGCCACACATTGGGACATAATGGTGGGTTCCCCAGTGTGGTATTGACTGCAAGATAGAAGGGGCATTCATCTCAATTGGTGATTTGTATCATTATTTGTAGCTTGGGGTGGACACCATCTTTTGCTTGGACAATGTCGACACAGTCAATCACACCATGCTCCCCCACCGCCTTTCCTCCGTCATGCACCTCAGTGGGAACGCACTCGCCTGGTTCGAGTCCTACCTCACGAGCCGCCAACAGTACATCTGCACAAACGGCTTCCCCTCCCGCTCTCACCCGGTTACCTGATCCATCCTTGGCCCCCTCCTCTTTCCGATCTATATGCTCCGGAGGTCATCTGCAGTCATGGGGTACACATGTATGCGGACGACACCCAACTCTATTGTTCCACTTACACTGCGACCCCCAGTCGACTGAAGTTCTGTCAGCCTACCTGTCAGACCTCAGGAGCTGGATAAGCGCAAATTTCCTTCAGCTGAATGTTGACAAGACAGAAGCCGTACTCTTTGTCTCTCGTCAACTTCTAAAATCACACAGTTCTCAACTCCTCCACCTACCCGATCTTCCCCTAAAGCTCTCCGAACACGTACGCAACCTAGGCGTCAGGTTCAACCCCCAATTATCCTTCCTCTCCCACATTGGGTCCCTCACCAGCACCGCCAATACCTCACTCCAAAAGCCGCTGAAACCCTGGTCCATGCCTTTGTCACCTCTCGGCTGCACTTTTCAAATGGCCTCCTCACCAGTCTCCCCTCCACTACTATCCATAAAATCCAGGTCATCCAAAACATTCTTACCTGCACCAAACTCTGCTCCCCGATTACCCAGTCCTTGCCAGACTGCACTGACAGCCTGTCCCAGAGAGCATCAACTTCAAATCCTCACCCTTGTCTTCAAATCCCTCCACTCCTCTGCACCCCCCGACCTCTCTGACCCCCTCTCTCCTCAAAACAGTGCCCATTGCCTTCACTCAACCTGGTCTGGCCTCCTCCTTGTCCCCCGAGTCCTCTGCTCCACAGTCGGTGGCCATGCCTTCAGCCACTATGCTGCAAGGCTCTGGAACTCCCTTCCTCCCTCCCTTCGCCTCGCCCCCTCTCTTCCTACTTTCAGGTCTCTGCTGAAGACCTTTCTTTTCCACCGCGTCTTTGGTCACCTTCCCCCCCCTCCCCCTGGCTTGCCACCGGGATCCGTTACTGTGAAGCGCTCTGAGACACCGTCTGGCATGGAGGGCGTTATATAAATCCAAGTTGTTGTTGTTGTTGTTGTTGTCCTGCAGGACCACAATGAGAATGGGCAAAGAGTACTCTGGTTGTACTTGTCTTTCTTAGATAAATATGCTTCCATTTGACATAGGACCTTTTTGTTTAGTGAAATCGTTTCAAAACGCTTCATAATAATATTAATAGTAATAATAATCCTTGCATTTGATATAGCGCTTTTCACGTCTTCTTGATGTCTCAAAGCGCTTAAATGGGATTTATGGGAAAGTGTAGTGACTGCATAGGTAAATGTAGCAACCAATTTGCATACAGCCATGACCCAAAGAGTACTCTTGCCTCCGAATCAGAAGGTTGTGGGTTCAAACCCCATCATAGAATCATACAGCACAAAAAGAGGCCATCGGCCCATCGAGTCTGTGCCGGATCTTTGAAAAAAGCAATGTAATGTCAATCCCACTCCCCAGTCCTTTCCCCATAACCTGCAAACCCGTCCTCCTCAAATACACCGCATTTTTAAAAGTAGTTATCGAATTGGCCTCGACCACCCTTTCAGGCAATGTTCCAGATTCGAACAACTCGCTGCATGAAAAAAATTCTTCTCCCTCTGCTTCTTTTAGAAACTATTTTGAATCTGTGACCTTGAGTCACCGACACACCCACCAATGGAAACAGTTGTTCCCTTTCTAACCTGTCAAATCCCCTCATGATTTTGGTGACCTCTATTAGGTCTCCTCGTAACCTTCTCTGCTCTAATGAGAATAATCCCAGCCTCACTAGCCTTTCCTCATAATCAAGGTCCCTCATTCCTGGTACCATCCTCGTAAATCTCCTCTGCATTTCCAATGCCTTAACATCCTTCCTGAAGTGTGGTGCCCAGAATTGGGAGCAGTGTTTTATATAGGTTAACATAACATAACATGTAGGAGCAGGAGGAGGCCATTCGGCCCTTCGAGCCTGCCCCGCCATTCAATCATGGCTGATTTTCTAATCTAACTCCAGCTAATAACCTGACGCTGCCTTATCCCCATATCCCTTACTCCCTTTTGCAATAAGAAATCTATCTATCTCAGTCTTGAATATAATAATAATAATAATCCTCGCATTTGATATAGCGCTTTTCACGTCGGGAGGACGTCCCAAAGCGCTTCACAGAACACACTGTAAAGTGAACTGAATTTGTGGGCGAACGTGGCAGCCAATTGCGCACAGCAATGTCCCACAAACAGTCGTAGATTGAAAATGACCAATTTTTTTTTTTTTTTGGTTTTGGAGGGATTATTATCAGGTGTGTGGAGTAAGGAAACTTGCCCAAGGTTTCGCCCTCTGCCTGGAATTGAACTCAGGTCTCTCACTTGCAAAGCGAGTGCTCTAACCACTGAGCTACAGGACTCCACGTATGTTCAAGGACTGAGCGTCAACAGTCCTTTGGGGTAATGAGTTCCATACATTCACTGCCCTTTGAGTGAAGAAGTACTTCCTCAACTCAGTGCGAAAGGGTTGGCCTCTGATTTTAAGGTTGTGACCCCTGGTTTTAGTTTCTCCAACCGGGGGAAACAATCTCCCACTATCTACTCTATCTGCCCTTTGATGATCTTATAGGTTTCTATAAGATCCCCTCTAATTCTTCTATATTCTAGAGAATATAGGCCCAATTGGTCAACCTATCCTCGTAACTCATCCCCTTCATCACTGGCACTAACCCAGTAAATCTACGCTGCACCCCCTCCAAGGCAAGTACATCCTTCCTTAAATAAGAAGACCAAAACTGCACACAGTATTCCAGGTGTGGTCTCACCAGGGCCCTATACAGTTTCAGCAAGACTTCCCTACTCTTATACTCTAATCCTTTCATAATGAATGCAAACATACCGTTCGCCTTCCTAATCGCTCGCTGCACCTGCAGACTAACTTCTGTGATTGGTGTACAAGGACACCCAAGTCCCTCTGGATGTTAACACATTCCAATCTCTCCCCTTCTAAAAAATAACTAAAAAANTTCTAATCTAACTCCAGCTAATACCATAACCCTGCCTTATCTTCATATCCCTTAATCCCCTTTGCAATAAGAAACATATCTATCTCAGTCTCAATCATAACCTCCTGACTCTTGTACTCTATGCCCCTATTTATAAACCCTAGAATCCCATATGCCCTTTTTACCATATGTCCTATGTCGAGACTTGAAACTCACATCATCTAAGCTGACATTTCAGTGCAGTGCTGGGGGTATCCTGCATTTCTGGAGATGCCACCTTTCAGATAAACATTAAACCGAGGCCCCTGTTGGGTGCTAAAGATGCCCTGGCACTATTCGAAAAGATAAGGGAATTTCTCTCCCACAGTATCTTGGCCAATTCTAAATCAGTTGAGTTTAGATCCCTAGATATCATTCTCAGGCTGCACAGTTAAAACAGGTTAAAACACACCTTGAATATTGCACACATTTCTGATCACTGAGACGTAAGCCAGCCCATGCTCTAGAAGCAGTGCAGAGGAGAGCAAAGAGGATGCTCTCCAGTGTTAGAGGAATGAGCTTTAATGTTAGAGAAATGAGCTAGATATGCTTGAGCTCTTTAGTCTTGAGAGAAGATGACTCAGGGGACCTCATAGATTGTATACAATTTGTACACAATTTTAAGTGGGATTAAAAAAGTGAACAAAGATTTTATGATGCACCAAGACAGTAGAATCAGAGAACATAGCTTTAGAGTTACAAAGGGAAATTTCAGACAGCAACCAGGAAATGACTTAGACGGTAATTAACAACTGGAACAGATCGCCAGGAAGGATGGTTGAGGTCAGGGCACTGGGCTCATTTAAAAAGCAATTTGATGCTGTGATGTAGGGAGAATAGGTGTTCTGGAAGGATAATATTTAATGGACCAAAAGACTTTCTTTAGTATGAAGTGTGATAATTTAGTTACTTGGAAATGCAAATCTTCATCAGAATAGCTGCTGTGAGTTGAACATTTATTGCAAAGTCACATTCAGTTTTCTGGTGGTTGTTTTGTTCCCTCAAAGGTTTATTGCATGTGTCCAATGGCAATTTTGCCAATTTAATTCCACTACAAAAAGAATACAGGGAAAACTGTTTTGCCCTGTTTTGTCAATCTAATGAAGGGAATGAAACATCTAAGTGTACCCTGGAATTTTAGAAGAATAGTATTATTCACCGTGACTGAAAGATGTTTGTAATAACACTTTTAACTGTATGGAATTAGATGAGTATATTGGAAAATTAAAACCATATTTAAGGCAGCCAGTAGTTTGAATCTTACCTACACCGTAGCCTTTACCTGTAAAATGAACACAATAGGGCAATTATTAACATAACTGAATTAATATATTTTAAATTTCATAAGAATAGTAACAGCCGGCGTCAGAAAGGTGTTAGCATAAACTGTAAGCATTCTGTTCCAGTCCAGGATTCATTCAGTCCCAGGCTGGTGGGTGAAAATCTCCTGTGTTTTGGATGTAAGGTGGTGTGTTGAGGTGATACAACTGGACAGGTCCACACTGGCCTGACTTAAATTCTACTTTTAAAAAGGTCAGTAGACCTAATCTAGGAAAATACAGTTGTGTACAAGGTTTTGAAATCTATAATAAAAGATGAAGTAACTAATCATCTGGAGAAGGAGTGTATATTGCTTTACTGACTTAATTGGCAATTGGACATTGATGTTGAAGCAAGCAAGTATAAAAGGATTCTTGGAAAGTGACTGGACAGATTGTGGATATGATGGAATTGTAAGGTTTAAATAAATGAACTAGTGAATTAAAATTGTGTTTTGGATTTACAAACATTACAAGGAGAATATAATTAAGAGCAGCCTGCATGGATTCACAAAAGTAAGGTTATGTTTAACCAACCTCATCAAATTATTTGAAGATGTCACCAATAAAGTCGACAAGGGAAATGCAGTGGATGTAGGATATTTCGATTTTCCCAAGGTCTTTGATAAAGTGTCACATGAAAGGATAATAACTAAAATTATGGCGAGAGTTAGGAAGTGGTGTTCGGTGTTTTCTGTTCTCAACAAACAATGTGTAGAATACTTTTTTATTTTAGGTCTCCAGTTATAAAATCCAACAGTCACACAAACACCCTCTACTAACTTCTTTCTGCTTCCTCTCCCTCCTGATCTCCTTCCATTGGTCTTAGTCAATTGGTCCTTATTTATTAATTAGTATCCAACATTCGGCAGGAATCCAGGTTTCAAAATTACATTTGTAGAGCGCCTTTCAGGTCAGAAAGACGTCCCTAGGTGCTGGGACTGGTACTGTTCACCATATACATAAATTATTTGGATTCAGGTATAGGAGGCGAGATGTTTGCAGATTACAGCAAAAAGGTGTGTGGTAAATTGTGAAGAGGAATGCAGAAACTCATAGGCTAGCAGAAATGGCAGACAGATGGCATATTAAATTTAACATGCAATTAAATTTAACATGCGATTTAACATGCAAAGTAATTCACTTTGACAAAAAAATTATATTGATATCGGTTCACTTATTGTCCATATTAAAGTCCATTTTGTTTAACTCTTTAAAATGCAAAGTACAAGGAAATGGAAGTAGAGTGGGAAGTTTCTCTCTGGTCGATATAACTTGAGAAAGTTAGAACAAAATAACAGGATTACATGTTTATAGCGCCTTTCACATCGGGAGGACGTCCCAAGGTGCCGGACAGTCATAGCATTTCAGACCCGAGCTGGGGTCAGGGGAGGTAGAAAGGAAGGGAGGGGAAGGGGGCTGGCCAATGGCATGATCGAAGAGGAGGGTCTTGAGATGGGACTTGAAGGAGGCTAAGAAGGGGGCGAGGCAGAGTAACAGGGGGATGGAATTCCAGAGGTTGGGGATAGAGTGGCTGAAGGCTCTTCTGCCAATGGTGGGAAGGGTGGGTCGGGGAACGTGGAGCAAGAGGGAGGGAGCGGGTGGGTTGGTTTGGGGTTTGGGAGGTCGCAGAGGTAGGGTGGGACGAGGCCATGGGAGGCTTTGTAGGTGAGGACTCGGATCTTGAACTGGATCCTCTGAAGGATAGGGAGCCCATTGAACTGGGCAAGAATGGGGGGGATGGGGTCATGGAGTTTGGTGCGGGAGAGGACACGGGCTGCAGAGTTAGTTCTGGATTATCTGCAGCCTGTGGAGGGAGGAGTTGGGAAGGCCGACAAGCAGGACATTTGCATAGTCGAGCCTGGAGGTGATGAAGGCATGAACTAGAGTTTCAGTGGCCTGAGGAGTGAGGTAGTGGCGGAGTCGGGCGATGTTACGGAGGTGAGGGAAGGCAGAGTGGGTCATGGCTTGAATGTGGGGAAGAAGACTGTTGAGGGTTGAACAAGACACCTAAGTTCCTGACTGACTTGGTGAGTTGAAGTGTGCAACCATGGAGGTTGATGCTGCCAGAGCCTGAGGTGCAAGGCGCTGGCGCGAGTCAATCAGAAGGGCCTCAGTCTTGTTCACATTCAACTCTAGGAAATTTGCCCTCATCCAGGACTTGATGTCCGACAAGCAGTCTGTCAGAACAACAGTGGTTCTGGAGTTGAGGGTGGAGGCAGAAAGATAGAGAAGGGAGTTGACCTATGTCTGTGGATGATGTCACCAATGGGGAGCATGTAGATATGAAAGAGGAGAGGGCCAAGGACAGAGCCCTGGGGGACGCCAGACGTGACAGTGCAGGGGCTGGAGGAGAAAGGCAACAAAGTGGAGACGGTGAGAGAGATAGGAATCGAACCAGGCAAGGGCAGGTCCGCAAAGATTAACTAAAGCGAGGCGGTGTATGAGGATGGAGTGGTCGACAGTGGCGAAGGCGGCAGAAAGGTCGAGGAGGACAAGGAGTCAGAGGGAGCCCTGATAACAGATGTTCAGAATGTCATTAGGGGCTTTGACCAGGGCTGTTTCCGTGCTATGGGCAGCGCGGAAGCCGGATTGGAGGGGTTCAAAGAGAAAATGGCGAGAAAGAAAGGAGCGGAGCTGAGACGCAACAACTCGTTCCAGGACCATGGAGAGGAATGGAAGGTTAAAGATGGGGCGGTAGCTGGAGAGAAGGGATGGGTCTGGGGAAGGTTTGTTCAAGATGGGGGTGATGACAGCTGTTTTTAGGGGGTGGGAGCTGAACCCGTGGACAAGGAGAGGTTGATGATGTCGGACAGGAGAGGGGCCAGAAGGTGGAGCTGGGAGATGAGGAGAGAGATGGGGATGGGATCAAGGTAGCAGGTAGTGGGTTTGAGTTTGCGGAGAGTCATGGTGAGGGAGGAGAAAGAGAGGCATAGGAAGGTGGACAGAGGAGTCGGTTTGTGAGGGCAAAGAGAAGCCCGGGGTTGTCCTTTGCCTCCAAGATAATCTTGGAGTAGAAGGAGGATTTGCAGAGGCAAGTGCGCAGCTGTAGGTCTTGGTGTGGTGAAGCCAAATCTGCCGATGGACTGTTAGTTTGGAATTGGTCCTGGCGCATTTGGCAGCTCGCACTTGTGCCTTGAGGGAACGGAGATGGCTGGTATACCAGGGGGATTTATGGGAGTATGAGGCAGTTCAGGAGGTGAGGGGGGGGCAAGGGAGTCCAGAATGGAGGAGAGAGAGTTGTGGAGAAAAGAGAGTGAGGAGGGGAGATCGGTCAGTGAGGGTCAGAGGTGTAGGAGTTCCGATGACTCCAAAGCAGTGGAGAGGGAAGCATTTTTTTCCATAGACGGTATGTAATGGTGGAGGGTTGAGAAAGGGGAAGGGGTATGAAGGTGTTGAGGGAGATGAAGTGGTGGTCCGAGATGGCTTCATCGATGATGGTGAGGCTCCGGATGATCACCAGGTCAAGGGGGTGGCCACAGTCAAGGGTGGGGGAGTGGATGAGGAGGGAGAGGTTAAGGGAAGAGAGGAGGGAGGAGAAGTCGGCAGAGGTAGAGCAGAAGAGGGTGAAGTGGAGGTTGAAGTCGCCTAAGATTAGGAAATATTCAGAGCAGAGGGAGAAGGAAGATAGGAGGGTGGAGATGTTGGAGAGGAAGGTGGGGGAAGGCTTGGGGGGATGGTAAACAAGGAGGATTTTGAGGGAAAGCCTGGGAGGGTGGTAGAGGGTAAGGAGTTCGAAGGAGGGGAAGGTTCCTGAGAAGTAAGGGGAAAGGCCGAGGGGGGACCAGGAGATGACAGCCACACCACCGCCATGGCGATTAGGCCGTGGGGTTTGGTGAAAGGTGTAACCTGGAGGTTACCACTAGTTGAGGTGTGGCCTCAACTAGTGGGAAGGTGTCACCTGGGGTGACCCAGGTTTCGGTGAGATCATTAAGGACTTGATTTTTGACAGGCAGTGAACCTGGACTGGGGTAGATAGATTAATAATAGTAATCCTTGCATTTTGATCTAACACCTTATCACGTCTTTGAGACATTTCAAAGTACTTCACAGAATATACTTTAAGAAAGGTTTCTTTCTCTTACTGTCATTACAAGTTGCAGCTTTACAACAGCAACAATAAAATTACATTTGTATAGCGCCTTTCATGTCGGGAGGACATCCCAAGATGCTGAGCTTTACATTTTGTTTTAAATTCCCGCTAGCATCAGTAGAAATATCAACCACAGAAAGTCCTGTTCTATTGCTGACAGCCACGTATTAGAAACAATATTGGTATGTGATTTCAGGTATTTCTGTCCTTGATCAAAAGTGAAAAACGTTTTCATGTCAGGCAGTAGTCTGAATCTTACCTGCCCCATGGTCACCACCTGTAAAGGGAACACTTTAGTATAAATATTAAAAGAAGCTCCACATTTCACAACAATAATCATACAGTCCAAGGCTGATGGCTGGTCTGTATGTTAGCTGTCATGTGTGCAATGAGTCTGGACAATTCCACAACTCTGGAAATATATCAGTAACGACATGAGTCCTTACCCAGTTAAAGAATAAGCTTTAAATTCTGAATTCAATGTAAATATTATAAACTTAGATATCAAACAATCATAGAATTATACAGCATAGAAGGAGACGATTCGGTCCATCATATCTGTGCTAGCACTTTGAAAAGAGTTATCCAATTCAATCCCACTCCCCTGTTCTCTACGCATATCCCTGCAAACTTGTCCTCCCCAAATAATTATCTACTCTCTTAAAAGATGTTATCTAATCGGCTTCCACCACTCTTTCAGGCCATGCATTCCAAATTGAAACAACTCGCTGTGTGAAAACATCTCTCCTCAACTCCCCTCTGTTACTTCTGACAATTACTTTAAATCAGTGTCTTCGGTTACCAACACACCCTTGATCATCCTATCAAATCACCTCATAATTTTTAAAAATTCTATTAAGTTTACTGTTAACCTTCTCTGCTCCCAGGAGAATAATCTTAGCTTCTCTGGTAAATCTCCTTTGCCTTGACATCCTTTCTAAATGTGGTGCCCTGAACTGAACATAGTCTCTAGCTGAGGCCTAACTAGTGTTTATAAAGGTTTATCATAACTTCCTGACCTTGGAGTTGAAGGACTTTCTCAGTTGAAAGTCAAGCCTCTGCTACCATCTGCCCATTCTCTTTACCCCATCTTCCTCTTTAGATCTTGGCCTCCACTTGCCCCTCCTTTGCCTCTATCTCTCCTACATCTCTTCTTCATTGGTCACATGGATCAACATTGATGAGACTGAGCATGCAGATTACAATAGTTACAATAGTTTGTCTTAAAGGAGTTGAGGGGAAAGAAACCATTTGACATTTGAAAGATGCCAGCACTATAGCTGATCCCTAAGATTGAAAAATATTGATGTTTAGATTGTGGCAAGGAATAACAGAAACAATCAATCAATCAGGCGTCGGTTGGACAGGAAAGCAGCGATTTGCAAACTTCTCCCGAATGTAAGGGAATCGCTGTTGACTTCACATGAGAATGTTTGGTGTTTATTATGGCCGGCCAGATCTAGCAATAGACTGTGAGACCTGATCACGTGTGCTGGCAGCACAGGCTGGGATTTGAGGGAGCCGAGGTGACTGTGCTGCTCCGGGGGAACTTACTGACTTACCCACCGGCTTGATAACTTTTCTTCAATATTGTCACATTCCTTAAGATCCTGTCATAGAGCTGCAATTGACTTGACGAAGAATGAAAACAGACATTTAAAGCAAAAAATATTACTAATCTGATTCTTACCACTATATCCATAGCCAAAGCCACCACCTGACAAGAGAACAGATTAAAAGATTTAAATAAACATTTCCTAAATCAATATCGACAACAACAACAGAATTACATCTGTATAGCGCCTTTCACGATGGGAGGTCATCCCAATATCACTGCTTATTTCACAACAATAGTAATAACTTGTAGCAGAAAGTGGTTTGTGAACATATAGAAACTGCTCATTCAGACATTGGGAAATCAAAAATTCATGAGCTTCCGTGAGCTGGACATTTGCTGTAAGCTCCCTTTCAGTATCTGGTTGTTCTATTGATACATACATGAGAGAGAAGGGAATAGAGGAGAATGGGACAGGTGGGGGCTCGGGTGGAGTTTAAACACCTGCATGGAATAGCTGGGTTGAATGCTCTGTTTCTGTATCATTCTGTGGAACTACTATTTCTATCACATATTCATTATGTGAATTCAGTCGCTGTCAGAGAAGACTGGGGAAAAGAACAAGGGATTGGGATTGCACTCTAGCCTCTGCCTTCCTTCATCTTCAATCAACAACAACTTTACACAACATTATATAGTGTCCTTCACACAGAGTGGCATCGCGGGGAACTCACCTTCTCTGATATCATATGCACAGCTCCCTCACCACCATTCTCAACACCCTCTCACCATCACATCGCATACTGTCTTCTATCACTGCAATTCCCCTGGTACCACATCAACCTTATCTTTGTCACGTCCCTGGCCCATGCTACCAAATGCACATGGCTTAATTCTGGCCTCATTGTAACAGCCAGATCAGGCTATATTATATATACCCTATCGCTCCAGCTAAACCTCAGTCAAATTGTCCTGCTACTCCAGGATCATCATGAGATCAAGGACAACTACAGGTTCCTCATCTCTATCACAAACTACTTTCCCTGCTTCTCACCTCCGATTCCAAAAGTGAGGAGTTGATGGACTTTCTCAGTCAAAAGTCAAGCCTCTGCTACCATCTGCCCATTCTCTCTACCCTGTCTTCCCCCTGAGATCCTGGCTTCCACTTGCCCCTCCTTTGCCTCTATCTCTCTTGCTTCTCCTTTTTATGGGCCACATGGAGCAACATTGATGAGACTGAGCCTGTAGATTACAATAGTTTGTTTTAGAAGAGTTGAAGGGAAAGAAACCGTTTGACATTTGAATGTTACCTGGAAAGAAGCCAACACCGTAGTTGATCCCTAAAATTGAAAAATATTGATGTTATCAATGTCACGGAGATAAAAGTTGAACAGGTCAAACCGCAGGTGTGGGGTTTAAAGGGCAGTTGACATTTGTCTTAAAAGACAAAGAGCCACTGAGGTCCCACATTGGCTCCGTGAGGTGGATTGTGCATCAATGGACAGTGATGATGTCAGTGCCTGGGGTGGGATAGTGCTGATGGCAGCCAAGCAGGAGATTCTCTGTCTTGTCGAGATTCATGTACATTGATATTGTCAGTGCCTGGATGGAGAAGGTGCTTGCCCACAAAATATACAATGAATTCACTTGACAATATATTCTGTGGAGCACTTTGAGACGTCTTGAAGATGTGAAGGCACTAAATCAAATGCAAAGGCTATTATTATTCACCTGGAGAAAGTTAGAGCTCATCCAGGATTTGATTTTTGACAGACAATTAGAACAGGAGTGATCCTGGACTAGGGTAGACTGCAGACCTATGTGCAAGTTCTTGTTTTTCCTGTGTGCCGATCTAATCTGAATGTTTGATAGATTGTGATCAGTCAGAAGCTGAGTGAGTGAATTTGAGATTTCTTTCTATCCAAGAGCCATAATGTGTTTGGAAAACGAAAATCAGATTTAAGGCAGGCAGTTTGAAATTTACCTACTCCATTGTCATTACCTGTGACAGGAACACAATAGTATAAATATTAACAAAATTGAATATATTTCAACTCCATATTTCAGAACCACAGTAACAATTGGCGTTAAAAAGTTCTTAGTATGAGCATTCTACTCAGCTCCAGGATTCATTCAATCCCCGGCTGCTGGATGGAAATCTGGCAGCTGACAGGTTGATATAGGGTTAACAGGTCACAGAGGTTGGGAGGAGCAAGACCATGAAGGTCAGGACAAGAATTTTGAACTAATCCACTGAGGGTTGGGAAGCCAGCGGAGCTGGGCGAGGGTGGTGTTGATGGGGATACGGAGCCTGGTGCAGGAGTTGACACGAATCGCAGAGTTCTGGCTGATCTTCAGCTTGTGAATGGAAGAGTTAGGAAGGCCGACAAGCAGGGACTTGGTGTAGTTAAGCTTAGGTGTGATGGAACGCATGAATGAGGGTTTTAGCGGCCTGAGGAGTGGTGGAGTGGTGGAGCCTGCCGTTGTTGTGGAGGTGGGGGAGACCCAGCGAATCATGGCATGGATTTCGGGTAGACAGGAACTGTCCTGTTCCTGAGGGTTAACCAAGAAGCCTAGGTTCTGGACCCGCTCAGTGAGGCTGTGCATCCATGGTCAGTGATGCTGTCAGTGCCTGAGGTGTAGAGGTGCTGACGAGAGCCAATCAGGAGAGTCTCGGTCTTGTTGACGTTCAGCTGCAGAAAGCTAGCTCCTATTCAGGACTTGATATCTGACAGACATTCTGTCATGACAGCAGTGGTCATGGAGTCGAGGGTGGAGAGAGATAGAGTTGGGTGTCATCCGCATATGTGTGGAAGTTGACCCCATGACTGCGGATGATACCACCAAGAAAGAGCATGTGTATGTTGAAGAGGAGAGGACCAAGGACACAGCCCTGAGAAATTCCACAGAAGACGATGTGTGGGCTGGTGGAGAAGCCGTTAGCGAAGACAAAATGGAGACTGTGTGAGAGGTAGGATCTGAACCATTCAAGGGCAGAACCACGAAGGTTGAGGTAAGACGAGAAGTGATGGAGGAGCATGGAGTGGTCAACATAAATGGAAAATTAAAATGAAAACGAGATTTAAGACCAGCAGTCGTCTGAATCACAATAGTATAAATATTAACAAAACTGAATATGTTTAAACTTCATATTTTTCCATACAATTTGCGTCAGAAAAGTCTGAGCATGAGCATTCTGCTCGGGTGCAGGGTTCATTGAATCCCAGGCTGCTCACTCGACTGTTTGTGGGATACTGATGTGCCCAATTGGCTAGTGTGTTTCGCCCACAAAATATACCGTCAGATTCTATGATTCTCTGCGAATCTGGACAATTCCACAACGTAAGAATGGAAATCCATCAGGAAACACACTGGCTCATTTTCCAATTGAACAATAAGCTTTAAATTCTGAATTCAATATAAATATTATCAATTTAGATATTTACATACACTTTAAAAGTAGCAACTAAATCAATTATAAAAATAGCATAACATGGAAAGGTTTACTGACAATTCTGTTTTGGTGCTTTTGGCAAGGAATAACAGAAACAATCAATCAATCAGGCGTCGGTTGGGCAGGAAAGCAGCGATTTGCAAACTTCTCCCGAATGTAAGGGAATCGCTGTTGACTTCACATGAGATTGTTTGGTGTTTATTATGGCCGGCCAGATCTAGCAATGGACTGTGAGACCTGATCACGTGTGCTGGCAGCAAGGCTGGGATTTGAGGGAGCCGAGGAGACTGTGCTGCTCCGGGGGAACTTACTGACTTACCCACCGGCTTGATAACTTTTCTTCAATATTGTCACATTCCTTAAGATCCTGTCATAGAGCTGCAATTGACTTGACGAAGAATGAAAACAGACATTTAAAGCAAAAAATATTACTAATCTGATTCTTACCCCTATATCCATAGCCATTGCCACCACCTGACAAGAGAACAGATTAAAAGATTTATATAAACATTTCCTAAATCAATATCGACAACAACAACAAGATTACATGTGTATAGCGCCTTTCACGTTGGGAGGTCATCCCAATATCACTGCTTATTTCACAACAATAGTAATAACTTGTAGCAGAAAGTGGTTTGTGAACATATAGAAACTGCTCATTCAGACATTGGGAAATCAAAAATTCATGAGCTTCCGTGAGCTGGACATTTGCTGTAAGCTCCCTTTCAGTATCTGGTTGTTCTATTGATACATACATGAGAGAGAAGGGAATAGAGGAGAATGGGACAGGTGGGGGCTCGGGTGGAGTTTAAACACCTGCATGGAATAGCTGGGTTGAATGCTCTGTTTCTGTATCATTCTGTGGAACTACTATTTCTATCACATATTCATTATGTGAATTCAGTCGCTGTCAGAGAAGACTGGGGAAAAGAACAAGGGATTGGGATTGCACTCTAGCCTCTGCCTTCCTTCATCTTCAATCAACAACAACTTTACACAACATTATATAGTGTCCTTCACACAGAGTGGCATCGCGGGGAACTCACCTTCTCTGATATCATATGCACAGCTCCCTCACCACCATTCTCAACACCCTCTCACCATCACATCGCATACTGTCTTCTATCACTGCAATTCCCCTGGTACCACATCAACCTTATCTTTGTCACGTCCCTGGCCCATGCTACCAAATGCACATGGCTTAATTCTGGCCTCATTGTAACAGCCAGATCAGGCTATATTATATATACCCTATCGCTCCAGCTAAACCTCAGTCAAATTGTCCTGCTACTCCAGGATCATCATGAGATCAAGGACAACTACAGGTTCCTCATCTCTATCACAAACTACTTTCCCTGCTTCTCACCTCCGATTCCAAAAGTGAGGAGTTGATGGACTTTCTCAGTCAAAAGTCAAGCCTCTGCTACCATCTGCCCATTCTCCCTACCCTGTCTTCCCCCTGAGATCCTGGCTTCCACTTGCCCCTCCTTTGCCTCTATCTCTCTTGCTTCTCCTTTTTATGGGCCACATGGAGCAACATTGATGAGACTGAGCCTGTAGATTACAATAGTTTGTTTTAGAAGAGTTGAAGAGAAAGAAACCGTTTGACATTTGAATGTTACCTGGAAAGAAGCCAACACCGTAGTTGATCCCTAAGATTGAAAAATATTGATGTTATCAATGTCACGGAGATAAAAGTTGAACAGGTCAAACCGCAGGTGTGGGGTTTAAAGGGCAGTTGACATTTGTCTTAAAAGACAAAGAGCCACTGAGGTCCCACATTGGCTCCGTGAGGTGGATTGTGCATCAATGGACAGTGATGATGTCAGTGCCTGGGGTGGGATAGTGCTGATGGCAGCCAAGCAGGAGATTCTCTGTCTTGTCGAGATTCATGTACATTGATATTGTCAGTGCCTGGATGGAGAAGGTGCTTGCCCACAAAATATACAATGAATTCACTTGACAATATATTCTGTGGAGCACTTTGAGACGTCTTGAAGATGTGAAGGCACTAAATCAAATGCAAAGGCTATTATTATTCACCCGGAGAAAGTTAGAGCTCATCCAGGATTTGATTTTTGACAGACAATTAGAACAGGAGTGATCCTGGACTAGGGTAGACTGCAGACCTATGTGCAAGTTCTTGTTTTTCCTGTGTGCCGATCTAATCTGAATGTTTGACAGATTGTGATCAGTCAGAAGCTGAGTGAGTGAATTTGAGATTTCTTTCTATCCAAGAGCCATAATGTGTTTGGAAAACGAAAATCAGATTTAAGGCAGGCAGTTTGAAATTTACCTACTCCATTGTCATTACCTGTGACAGGAACACAATAGTATAAATATTAACAAAATTGAATATATTTCAACTCCATATTTCAGAACCACAGTAACAATTGGCGTTAAAAAGTTCTTAGTATGAGCATTCTACTCAGCTCCAGGATTCATTCAATCCCCGGCTGCTGGATGGAAATCTGGCAGCTGACAGGTTGATATAGGGTTAACAGGTCACAGAGGTTGGGAGGAGCAAGACCATGAAGGTCAGGACAAGAATTTTGAACTAATCCACTGAGGGTTGGGAAGCCAGCGGAGCTGGGCGAGGGTGGTGTTGATGGGGATACGGAGCCTGGTGCAGGAGTTGACACGAATCGCAGAGTTCTGGCTGATCTTCAGCTTGTGAATGGAAGAGTTAGGAAGGCCGACAAGCAGGGACTTGGTGTAGTTAAGCTTAGGTGTGATGGAACGCATGAATGAGGGTTTTAGCGGCCTGAGGAGTGGTGGAGTGGTGGAGCCTGCCGTTGTTGTGGAGGTGGGGGAGACCCAGCGAATCATGGCATGGATTTCGGGTAGACAGGAACTGTCCTGTTCCTGAGGGTTAACCAAGAAGCCTAGGTTCTGGACCCGCTCAGTGAGGCTGTGCATCCATGGTCAGTGATGCTGTCAGTGCCTGAGGTGTAGAGGTGCTGACGAGAGCCAATCAGAAGAGTCTCGGTCTTGTTGACGTTCAGCTGCAGAAAGCTAGCTCCTATTCAGGACTTGATATCTGACAGACATTCTGTCATGACAGCAGTGGTCATGGAGTCGAGGGTGGAGAGAGATAGAGTTGGGTGTCATCCGCATATGTGTGGAAGTTGACCCCATGACTGCGGATGATACCACCAAGAAAGAGCATGTGTATGTTGAAGAGGAGAGGACCAAGGACAGAGCCCTGAGAAATTCCGCAGAAGACGATGTGTGGGCTGGTGGAGAAGCCGTTAGCGAAGACAAAATGGAGACGGTGTGAGAGGTAGGATCTGAACCATTCAAGGGCAGAACCACGAAGGTTGAGGTAAGACGAGAAGTGATGGAGGAGCATGGAGTGGTCAACATAATTGGAAAATTAAAATGAAAACGAGATTTAAGACCAGCAGTCGTCTGAATCACAATAGTATAAATATTAAAAAACTGAATATGTTTAAACTTCATATTTTTCCATACAATTTGCGTCAGAAAAGTCTGAGCATGAGCATTCTGCTCGGGTGCAGGGTTCATTGAATCCCAGGCTGCTCACTCGACTGTTTGTGGGATACTGATGTGCCCAATTGGCTAGTGTGTTTCGCCCACAAAATATACCGTCAGATTCTATGATTCTCTGCGAATCTGGACAATTCCACAACGTAAGAATGGAAATCCATCAGGAAACACACTGTCTCCTTTTCCAATTGAACAATAAGCTTTAAATTTTGAATTCAATATAAATATTATCAATTTAGATATTTACATACACTTTAAAAGTAGCAACTAAATCAATTATAAAAATAGCATAACATGGAAAGGTTTACTGACAATTCTGTTTTGGTGCTTTTGGCAAGGAATAACAGAAACAGACATAACCACCGCCTTGATAACTTTTCTTCAATATTGTAAATTAATATTCCTTAAGATCCTGTCATAGAGGTGCAATTGACTCGATTAAGAATAAAAACACACATTTAAAGAAACAAATATTGCCAATTCTGTTTCTTACCATGGTCAGGAACTGTCAAGAGAAGAGATTATAAAGATTATAAAGATTGACTAAATCTACATCACTGCTTATTTCACATCAATAGTAATAACTTTGCATCGCATACACAGCTCCCTCACCACCATTCTGAACACCCTCTCACCATCACACCCCACACAGTCTGCTCCCCCTGCAATCCTCCTGGTACCACAGCCACCTCAGCTCCATCACATCCCAGGCCCATGCCTCCAAATGCATGTGGCTTAAATCTGGCCTCATGGTAACAGGCTGATGGTAACATGGCTGGATTATACTAAACCCTATCGCTCAGCCTAACCTCAGCCAAATTGTTTTGCTACTCCAGGATCATTATGGAGACCAAGGGCAACCCCAGGGTCCTCCTTCCCTTCGCCCAATCCCCACCCTTCTCCTGGTCACTCAGCTTCCCCTCCTTATTTCCTCCTCGTGCTATTCCTCACACAACACAAATGCAACATGTTGTTGAGCACAGAGCTCTACTGGTGAGGAAGCAGCAGTGCAGACGCAATGGGAAAGAGCAAAGGAGGTTTATTAACAGCAAACTCCAATGGGGGAGTGAACGCTCTCACAGACACAATGGGGTAAACAACACTTTTTATTCTATAATTTAATGTTGATAATTATTGCTGTGCAACATTGACTAGACAGCCTGTCGATGACAATATTTCGTCTTTAATTAGTTGAGGCGAAGGAAACAGTTTGACTTTTGAGCATTACCATCAGGGAGGTATCCGGAATAATCGTATTTCTTCCCTAAGAATGAAAGATATTTACGTTAACTGTAACTGTATGGAATCAGAAACATTTTACCTCTGCCCTTTCCCGACAGTATCTTTTATGAAACATTTGAGTACAAATAGCCACAAGCCATTTCTACCTAATTGAGGAATTTCGTGTCACTGTTCAACAACAACAAATTCCATTTACGTAGAGTTTTTGCATGTTTTCAACGTATGTCCCAAGGCGTTGGACAGTCAAAGGTTTGCACCTGAACTGGGGGTTGGATTTGGGAGGAGTGGAGACCAAGGGATGTGGATGGGAAGATAAGCGAAGGCACAGTAAAGGAGGAATGCCTCGAAGGAGGCAAGGCAGGGGGCGCGGTAAAGGGATTCTGGGATAGATTTCTAGAAGTTGGGGGCAGAAAGGCTGTAGGCCCGACCTCCGATGGACAGTGCCCGCTAAGTGGAGGGAGCAGGCGGGTTGGTAGTGTTTCAGAGATAGAGGTCACAGAAGTATGGTGGACCATTATCGTGGAAGGCTTTGAAAGTGAGAAATCGATCCACCTCGGGATGGGGAGCCGGTGGAGCCAGCGGAGGATGGGTCTGGTCAGGCAGAGGACATGAGCTGCAGAGTTCTGAAGGGGCTGTAGCTTGTGTAGGGAAGTGTTGGGAAGTCCAGGGAGCAGAGTGTTGGTGTAATCAAGCCCGTATGTGGTAAAAGAACTGTTTAGGCTATCGGCGATCTGAGGGGAAAAGAGGTAGCAGAGGTGAGCAATTGAACAGAGGGGAAAAATGAACAGGTCAAAAATAGATGCCATTTAAGGACAGTGAATGTAATAACACACCTTGCATTTGTTATAGAGCTTTTCATGTCTTCTAGACATGTCAAAGCACTCCACAGAATATACAGTTGGCAGTCAAATAAGTCAGAGGTTCCCCATTGACATCATGAGGTGGATTGTGCATCAACAAATACTGATAATGTTTGTGCGTGGGGTGAGAAGGTATTGATTGGGAGCCAAGCAGGAGAGCCTCTGCATTGTCGACTATCAACTGGAGAAAGTTAGAGCTTACCCAGAACTTGATTTTTGTCAGGTAATCAGTTAGACCAGCAGTGATCCTGGATTAGGGTAGACTACAGATCTAAGTAAAAGTTCCTCTTGTTTTTCTGAGTGCCGATCTAATAAGAATGTTTTATCATGAGTCAGGAGCTCAGTGGGTGAATTACAACAAATTACATTTGTACAGCGTCTTTCACGTCGGAAGAACGCCCCGACAGGCGCTGGACAGTCAACGCTTTCGATCCGAGCTGGGGTTGGGATCAGGAGCGGAGGACAGGGTTGTAGAGGTCGGAGGGTGAAGGAGCGGTCAAAGAGAAGGGTCATGAGACAACGCTTGAAGGAGGTAAGGCAGGGGTTGAGGCAAAGCAACTGTGGGATTGAGTTCCAAAGGGTGTGACAGAACGGCTGAAGGCCTGACTGCCGATGATGGGATGGGCAGAACTGGGGAACATAGAGCAGGCCGGAGCGCACAGAGCAGAGGGCGTGGACAAGTCCGTTGGAGTTATTGGATCACAGAGGTAGGGGGGAGCAAGGCCATGGAAGAGTTTGAAGGCAAGGATGAATATTTTCAACTCATTCCTCTAGGGGGTGAGGAGCTAGTGGAGCTGGGCGAGAGTGAGACTATAGGTTCACAGAAATTGATGCGGGAGAGGACATGATCTAAATCGTTCTGAGGATTCACTTTGGAGCAGAAAAGGTTGAGAGCAGTAGATAGGGAGGAATTGTTTGCAGTAACCAGAAGACAGAGATTGAAAGTAGAACATACATAAGAATTAGGAGCAGGAGTCGGCCATTCGGCCCCTCGAGCTGCCCCACCATTCGATAAGATCATGGCTGATCTTCTGACCTAACTCGAATTACCTGCCCTATCCCCATATCCCCTAATCCCTCTATTTTTTAAAAAATCTATCAGTCTCAGCCTTGAAGATAATAATAATAATAATAATAATCCTTGCATTTGATAGAGCGCTTTTCACGTTGGGAGGACGTCCCAAAGCGCTTCACACAACACACTGTAAAGTGAATTGACTGTATATTTGTGGGCGAACGCGGCAGCCAATTGCGCACAGCAATGTCCCACAAACAGTCGTAGATTGAAAATGACCAATTTATTATTGTTTTGGTTTTGGAGGGATTATTATTAGGCTCTGTGTGGAGTAAGGAAACTTGCCCAAGGTTTCGCCCTCTGCCTGGGATTGAACTCAGGTCTCTGACTTGCAAAGCGAGTGCTCTAACCACTGAGCTACAGGACTCCACGTTCAAGGACTGAGCATCTACAGCCTTCTGGGTGAGTGACTTCCATAAATTCACTACCCTCTGAGTGAAGAAATGTCTCCTCAACTCTGTTCTCAAAGGCTAACCCTCAATTTTCAGGCTGTGACCCCGGTTATGGATTCTCCGACCGGGGGAAACAGAACCACAGTGACTACTTTATCAGCCCTTTAAGGATCTTATATGTCTCAATAAGATCTTCCCTAATTCTTCTGTACTCTGGAGAATACAGTCCTCGTTTATTCAGCCTATCCTCATAGGTCAGTCCCCTCATCCCAGGAACTAACCGAGTGAATCTACGCTGCACCCCCTCGAGGGCAAGTATGTCCTTTTTTAAATAAGGACCACAACTGCACACAATACTCTCGGTACGGTCTCACCGGGGCCCTATACAGTTGCAGTAAGACTTCTCTACTCTTGTACTCTAAACCTTTTGCAATGAACGCTAACTGCCGTTCGCCTTCTTAGTTGCTGCTGCACCTGCAAACTAACTTTTTGGGACTGGTGTACAAGGACACCCAAATCCCTCCAGCACAGACACTAATGGGCTAAACAACACTTTTTATTCTATAATTTAATGTTGATGATTATTGCTGTGCAACATTAACTCGACAGCCTGTCAATGACAACATTTTGACTTTAATTAGTTGAAGCAAAGGAAACAGTTTGACTTTTGAGCATTACCTGTAGGGAAGTATTCGGAATAATCGTATTTCTTCCCTAAGATTGAAAGATATTTATGTTTACTGTAACTGTGTAGAATCAGACACATTTTACCTCTGTCCTTTCCTGAAAATATCATTTAATAAGGGAGTAGAAGGATTGGCACTGTTTCAGGTTGGACAGGGAGGAACTGCTTCCTCTGGCAGTAATAATAATAATAATCCTTGCATTTGATATAGCGCTTTTCACGGCTTTCAAGCGTCCCAAAGCGCTTCACAGAATATACTGTAAAGTGAATTGACTGTATATTTGTGGGCGAACGCAGCAGCCAATTGCGCTCAGCAATGTCCCACAAACAGTCATGGATTGAAAATGACAAATTTATTATTGTTTTGTTTTTTGGAAGGATTATTATTAGGCTCTGTGAGGAGTAAGGAAATTTGCCCAAGCTTTCGCCCTCTGCCTGGAATTGAACCCAGGTGTCTCACTTGCAAAGCGAGTGCTCGAACCACTGAGCTACAGGCCTCCACAGTAACCAGAAGATACATATTTAACATAATTTAATAATTGAAAATAATTAGCAATAGAATTAGAGAGAAGACTAGGAGAATTTTTTTTTACCCAGCGAGTTCTTACAGTCTGGAATGCAGTGCCTGAAGCGGTGGTGGAAGCAGATTCGAAAATAGCTTTCAACAGGGAATTAGATAGGTACTTTAAAAGGTAATATTGGTAGGGCTAAGGGCGGGGGAGTGGGATTAATTGGTAGCCCTTTCAAACAGCCGGCACAGGCACGATGAGCAGAATGGCCTCCTGTGCCTTAAGATTCTATGATTCTTTGTGTACTGAATCTGGACAATTCCACAACGTGAGAATGGAAATCCATCAGTAAACACACGGTCTCCTTTTCCAATTAAACAATCAGCTTTAAATTCTGAATTCAATATAAATATTATCAATTTAGATATTTACATACACTTTAAAAGTAGCAAAATATTTAAAGCAAAATATATTGCCAATTCTGTTTCTTACCATGGTCAGGAACTGTCAAGAGAAGAGATTATAAAGATTATAAAGATTGACTAAATCAACATCACTGCTTACAACATTAACACTGCTGACATCAATAGTCATAACTTTCCATCGCATGCACAGCTCCCTCACCACCATTCTGAACACCCTCTCACCATCACACCCCACACAGTCTGCTCCCCCTCAATCCTCCTGGTACCACAGCCACCTCAGCTCCATCACATCCCAGGCCCATGCCTCCAAATGCATGTGGCTTAAATCTGGCCTCATGGTAACAGGCCTTACTACTAAACCCTATCGCTCAGCCTAACCTCAGCCAAATTGTTCTGCTACTCCAGGATCATTATGGAGACCAAGGGCAACCCCAGGGTCCTCCTTCCCTTCGCCCAATCCCCACCCTTCTCCTGGTCACTCAGCTTCCCCTCCTTATTTCCTCCTCGTGCTATTCCTCACACAACACA